TATTGCCGCCATGGCACTTAGGGAAGTGGCCAGAACGGGCGCTCGCTTCACTTGGACTAACAAACAGCTTTCCCCGGTCGGTTCGGTGCTAGACAGGGTGTTTATGTCACCGGATTGGGAAATGGGCTATCCTATGTGCACGTTGATAGTGGAGACACGGATTGGTTTGGACCACGTCCCGCTAGTCTATTCCTCGGGGGAGGAAAGGCTGCGTCGCAACCCGCGGTTTTTCTTTAAAATGGCCTGGTTCGAAGTGCCAGGCTTCGAGGCCATCTTCAAAGAGAAATGGCTGGCGTGTGTGCAGCAGGTCGGACACCAGCAGGGCCCGATGGAATTCTGGAATGCTATCGAGGGCCGATTTAGAGCGAGCCTCAAGGGGTGGGGCGCCAACCTAGGGAGGTTGGACAAGGAGCACAGAGCAAAGACCACGGAGGAGATCGTCAGGATCGACGCTCAGGCTGATGCTCGGGGATGAAAGCGGATACGGTACCGGAGCCGGACGGGTGGCCGGTTGCAATGTTCAAGCGCTTTTGGCCCATCCTTAGAGGCCCTATTTACGAGATTTGTAACGGTTTCATGCGCGGAATGGTAGATATATCTCGCCTTAACTTCGGAGTTCTCTCGCTCATTCCGAAGGTTCAGGGGGCTGATAGCATTAGGCAGTACCGCCCGATTGCGTTGATAAATGTTCCTTTTAAGATTTGTGCCAAAGCATGCACCACCCGATTAGGACCGATTGCCCAACGCTCGATACACCGTAACCAGTCCGCTTTTATCCGCGGGCGTAATATCCTTGAGGGTCCGCTCGCTCTCCAGGAGATTGTTCACGAGCTAAAGCGCACAAAGGAACCTGCCATGCTGCAGAAGCTAGACTTCGAGAAGGCGTATGACCAGGTAGATTGGGATTTCCTGCGTCAAGTGCTTTTGGGGCGTGGTTTCTCCGCGGTGTGGGTTCATAGAGTTATGCAATTGGTCTCGGGTGGCCAAACTGCAGTGTCGGTGAACGGAGAAATTGGGCATTTCTTCAGGAACAAACGCGGTCTCCGGCAGGGCGACCCGATGTCGCCGCTGCTGTTCACCTTTGTTGTTGATGCGCTATCTGCTATGTTGTCGAAAGCAGCGGCAGCTGGCCACATCCAAGGGTTGGTAGGCAATCTCATTCCAGGGGAGTGAGTCATTTGCAGTACGCGGATGACACACTTTTGATGTTTCGCCCAGACCTCGTGAGTATAGCTTCGGTCAAGGCGATTTTCATTAGCTTCGAGCTCATGTCCGGTCTCAAAATCAACTTCCACAAGTGTGAGTTGATTGCGATGGGCGTTGAGCCGGATGAGGGTGCACGTATAGCGGATTTGTTTAATTGCAAAGTCGGCAAATTCCCGTTTACGTACCTCGGCCTTCCGATAGATACCATAATAGAGGATTGGGATCCTCTGTGCGGCAAGGTACACGGGAGGGTGTGCCCCTGGCGGGGGAAATTCTTCTTGAAGGCGGCTAGACTTATTCTCACGAATTCCAGTTTATCCTCCTTGCCGATGTTCGCCATGGGGTTGTTTCTGCTCGCAGAAGGGGTTCATGCGAAGTTCGACACGCCCCGTGCCAAGTTCTTTTGGGAAGGAACCGACCCGAACTGTAAATATCATATGGTCAAATGGGCTTGGGTTTGCGGGCCCCAGGCCTTGGGAGGCCTCGGGATCATCAATTCCAGACTTTTCGACATCGCTTTGATGTGTAAGTGGATTTGGAAAATCGCCCAAGGGGCCTCCGGCCTTTGGGTTGATCTCCTCGGGGCCAAGTATTTTCCAGATGAATTTTTTTTCGAAGGGCGGGCAAGGGGCTCCCCCTTCTGGAACGACCTTCAGTCGGTCAAACCGGCGTTTGCCATGGGGGCAAAATTTGCTATTGGGAATGGACGTTCGACCCGCTTCTGGACGGATGTGTGGCTTGGAGCCCAACCTCTCTGGACGGAATTCCGGGACCTGTATGAGCTGGCCGTGGACCCATCCATCACGG